TCTGAGCCGCCTAGATTTAACTTGCGAAGTGCAGCTCGTACTTGCCGTCTATTCTCTCATTCCTTAATATGACAGCGGGTCATGTAGAGGAGCGCAATCAAGATGCTACAGTTTACATCGGTGGTCTCGACGAAAAATGCTCTGAATCAATTCTTTGGGAACTTTTCCTACAGGCAGGACCGGTAGTTAATGTTCATATGCCTAAAGATCGTATAACTAGTCAGCATCAAGGGTTAGCCAATTTAGCATGTTTTTATGACAACAATCACTTTATAATTGTTTTCGGATTTCATTTATAATTTCTTTAATTATAGTTATGGCTTTGTCGAATTCCTCAGCGAGGAGGACGCTGATTATGCTATGAAGATAATGAACATGATTAAGCTCTATGGTAAACCGATACGTGTGAATAAGGCCTCCGCCAACCAGAAAAATATCGATATCGGCGCTAATATCTTTATTGGAAACCTTGACCCCGAAGTCGATGAGAAGCTCTTATATGACACCTTTAGCGCCTTTGGTGTCATTTTACAAACTCCAAAGATAATGAGAGATCCAGAAACTGGAAACTCCAAAGGATTTGCATTTATTAATTTTGCTAGCTTTGAGGCTAGTGATGCTGCAATTGAGGCGATGAATGGTCAGTACCTTTGCAATCGAGCCATCACAATTTCCTATGCGTTCAAGAAAGACAGCAAAGGGGAACGGCATGGGTCCGCCGCCGAAAGGCTCCTTGCAGCTCAAAATCCCTTATCGCAGGTTAGCCTATAACAATATTATAATTTTATTACATCTAAGACATCATATTTATAAGTTCTCCTAAAACTAGCATAGGGCGAATTTCCATACTACCTGTTGATATGACCCGGTCATGTTTGTCTTGTTTTCGCATTATTTTGGGCGATGCTTCCATGTCTCAATATTGCCCAGAAAGATTGACCGATTTGTGACATCTGTAATTGAATTTTTGTTGTGTCACTTCATTACGTAGCTCATTTTGGACAGTAAACTTCGTCTTGGTTGATGCTTTAATGATTCCCATTCGAAATATTGTCTTATGTTTCCTCTCATAATTGCTAGTTAGTAAGGAACCTAGTTGCCACCGGAAATATCTTATCATTCCAATCGACTTATTCTATTATAATTATAACTGTATTACCTTTTCATATTATTGTCAAAG